GAGAATTTAGAGGGTTAAAATGATGTGGGGTTGTTAACCAATGTCATAAAACAGCATGTGTGTTACTGTTACATGAGAAACTATCTGTTCTGTGAGCCTTCACCTGAAGTACAATAAAATATTTAAAAAAAAAAAAAAAAAAGGGCAAACAGTTGAGCAGATATTTCTCCAAAAAAAGATACACAAATGGCTAATGAACACAGGAAAAGATGCTCAACATGATTAGCCATCAGGAAAATGTAAATCAAAACCACAATGACATACCACTTTACACCCACTAGGATGGCTACAGTCAAACATTTTTGGTTCAAGTGTTGACAAGAATGTAGAGAGATTGAAACCTTCACTGCTGGTGGGAATGTGAAATGGCGCAGCTTCGATGGAACAGTTTGGCAGTTCCTCAAAAAGCTAAACATTGAGTTACTATATGATCCATCACTTCCATTCTTAGGTATATACCCCAGAGAAATGAAAATATTTGTCCACATAAAAATTTGCAAATAAATGTTCATAGCAACATTATTCGTAATAGCCAAAGAGTAGAAACAACCCAAAGTCCATCAACTCATGAATGGATAGGTGTCGAGTCAGTTCTGACTCATACTGACCCTATGTACCACAAAATGCAACATTGCCTGGTCCTGCGCCATCCTCAAAATTGTTGCTATGTTTGAGCCCATTGTTGCGGCCACTGTGTCAATCCATCTCATTGAGGGTCTTCCTCATTTTCGCTGACCCTCTACTCTACCAAGTTTTTCTTCAGGGGTTGGTCCCTCCTGATAACATGTCCAAAGTATGTAAGACGACGTCTCACCATCCTCGCTTCTAAGGAGCTTTCTGGTTGTACTCCTTCCAAGATAGATTTGTTCACTGCTATGTTTGAGCTCACTGTTGCAGCCACTGTGTCAATCCATCTCGTTGAGGGTCTTCCTCTTTTTCGCTGACGTTCTACTTTACTTTACCAAGCATGATGTTCTTCTTCGGGGATTAATCCCTCCTGATAACACATCCAAAGTATGTGAGACGAAATCTCACCATCCTCGCTTCTAAGGAGCATTCTAGTTGCAGTCCTTCCAAGACAGATTTGTTCATTCTTCTGGCAGTACGTGGTATATTCAATATTCTTCACCAACACCATAATTCAAAGGCATCAGTTCTTCTTCAGTCTTTCATATTTATTGTCCAGCTTTTACATGCATATGAGGCGAATGAAAATACCCTGGCTTGGGTCAGGTGTACCTTAGGCCTCCGGGTGACATCTTTGCTTTTTAACACTTTAAAGAGGCCTTTTGCACAGATTTGCCCAATGCATCATTTGATTTCTTGACTGCTGCTTCCATGGGCATTGATTATGGATCCAAGTAAAATGAAATCCTTAAAAGCTTCAATCTTTTCTCCATTTATCATGATGTTGCTTATTGGCCCAGTTCCAAGGATTTTTGTTTTATGATGGAGGTGCAATCCATACTGAAGGCTGTGGTCTTTGATCTTCATCAGTAAATGCTTCAAGTCCTCTTTGCTTTCAGCAATCAAGGTTATCTGCATAACGCAGGTTGTTAATAGGTCTTCCTCTAATCCTGATGCCACGTTCTTCTTCACATAGTCCAGTTTCTCAGATTATTTGCTCAGCATACAGACTGCATAAGTATGGTGAAAGGATACAACCCTGACACACACCTTTCCTGACTTTAAATCATGCAGTACCCCCTTGTTCTGTTCAAGTGACTGCCTCTTGGTCTATGTACAGGTTCCACATGAGCACAATTAAGTATTCTGGAACTCTCATTCTTCACAATGTTATCCATAATTTGTTTAAGATCCACACAGTCAAATGCCTTTGCATAATCAATAAAACATAGGTAAACATCTTTCTGGTATTCTCTGCTTTCAGCCAAGATCCACCTGACATCAATAATGATATCCCTCGGTCCACATCCTCTTCTCAACCCAGCTTGAATTTCTGGCAGTTCCCTGTCGATGTACTGCTGCAAGTATTTTTCTATTATCTTCAGTAAAGTTTTACTTGCATGTGGTATTAGTGATATTGTTCAGTAATTTCCACATTTTGTTGGAATGAGCACAAATATGGATCTCTTCCAGTTGGTTGGCCAAATTTCTTGGCATAGATGAGTGAGCACCTCCAGCATTGCATCCATTTGTTGTAACGTCTCAATAGGCATTCCATAAATTCCTGAAGCCTTGTTTTTCGACAATGACTTCAGTGCAGCTTGGAATTCCTCCTTCAGTACCATCAGTTCTTGATCACATGCTACCTCCTGAAATGACTGAATGTCAACTAATTATTTTTGGTACAGTGACTGTGTACTTACCTTCTTTTGATGCTTCTTGTATGGATAGACATACATACAACAAAATGTAGTATATACATACAATGGAATATTATTCAATGATAAAAAGGAATTCTACAACATGTATGAACCTTGAAAATATTATGTGATAGAATACTTAAATGAAAGCAGACATAAAAGGCCACATGTTGTATGATACCATTTATATGAAAAGTCTAGAACAGACAAATACATAGAGACACAAAGTAGATTAGTGGTTGCCAGGGGAAAGGGGACTGCACAGGTGGGTAAGGGTTTCTTTTTGTGGTGATGAAAATGTTCTGGAATTAGTTGGTGGTGAATATACTGAGAACCACTGAATTGTACACTTTAAAATGGTGAATTTTATGGTATGTGAATTATATCTCAATTTAAAAAAAAAACTTAAAGGAATCTCTGGACAGCATTGCCCCTCCTGTCCCTTTGTTCACTATTTAATTAAATGAAGCTTATGAATCTTTCCAGGGTTATGTGATCTGCTTTATAGTTAAACTGCTTTGTGTTAAACTGGTTTCAGGGGAGAAAACGATTTAGTAAAGAATATACAGATGCATTGATTGACCTGCCTCTCACTAGACTATAAGCTCTTGAGAGCTGGTATGGTTACACTGAATGGTGGATTAGGGCCACAGTACCCATTATTTTATGAACGAGAGCCATGAATAGATGGGAAGCCCTCTGAGGTTCATACCGCTACGTCTAAGCAAAAGAAGCAAAAGGTTTGGATAAACGCCTAACTGGGGGTCAACTTAATTTTGTAAGAGCTTAGTATCTTCCTGACAGGTAACTAAAAAATTTGTGTTAAAACTAGAGGTTTCCCTAAAAAAAAAAAAAAAAAAAAAAAAAAAAGGCCCAAACGCAAGTCTCCCCTTTACCTTGGCTGGTGAACTGAGAACCTACAAAAGTCTGGAATAACAAAGGAAAGCTGGTGGATCAAAACATAAAATACCCAGCTGCCATCACAGGGGCAAGACGCTGGCATGGGTTCTCACACACTCTGCCTTTCCCACCCTCCTCCGAGCCCTGGCAGCTCTCCACAGTGATGCCCTCCAGAAGGGAAGAGCCCACGGTGACTGGCCTGGGCCTCAGCCTGTGTGTTTGGGATGGAATTTAACTGCTGACTACACAGTAACTATTTACAGAAGCCAAAGACGACATGCAAATGTAAATAATTTTCCTCTGTTTTTGAAGACTGAAACGTTCACAGGGTCCAAAACTGAAGCAACACAGGACATGAAATGAAAAGCAGAAGTCTCCCAGACTCCCCAGCTCTCCTCCCCAGATGTGACTGTCGTCGTTTCTCAAGGAAATTTTGACTTTTTATTTCTGAAATATCTATTATTGATGGGACAAGAATGTACACAGAATACATGTTTCTTGCAAAGGTTAACTCTTCCAGAGCCTGCTTAGCTCAACCAGAAACTGAGGCTAAATCCAGGTCTCAATTATAGAAACTGAAAATTTTCTTGATACAGAATTTAGATCTAAATAGATTCAACCTTTAAACAACAACAAAATCAGATAGTTCAGCCTTTAAGTTAGATTTCACTTTATTTCTCTCTATCCATGGTAAAACAGACTCTTCAAAGATTTATAAAACGTCACAAGTTGGTAGCCACCTGGAAATAATTTATTAACTACATTAAGCCCCAAATCCGTTCAGAAAAAGCACCGGACACACTTTAGGTTAAAATCTGACAACATCGACATAGGTACGTGTATTCCTCGACAGACACATCAATAAGTCAAATGCCCAACACTCCAGAAAGATTTAAAATTAAATCTCCAGTAAATTTCAGTGTAGCCGTAAGCAGACTTGTGCTGATCCTCGGATGAGAAGGTTGAGACTGACATAGCTGCAGTAGCTTATGAGGGGTGGGGGATGGACTTGAAATAACCTCGGAGTTGCAACAGGAAGTAATTCAATTAGCAGTAGCATTGAAAATATGTAATATTACAACAAAATGAATGTCAACTTAGAAAATGAACACCTATGGGCAATTTCTTCCCCAAACAGGGAACAGAGCAAACAAGGGAAATCAGATTTTTAGCAATCTTCCTGGGACCAAAAGCAACCACATGCCTGGAGATACTAAACTTTCCAACGCCTAAATATTAACAAGCTCTTCACATGGTAATCATCCCAGTATTTTAAATTTAAACAATGATGCAACCCTACAACTGTCAGCAAATTAAAATGCTTCTTAACCAACCTCTAGTTCTTACATATTGTGTCCATGAAAGGCTCCAGAAGTGTGCCCTTAGTTGAATGTGCAGAGGGCATGCCCACTGTGCAAATGAACCTCACCTGGCCTCAACAGGCGTTCCCTCCCAGGGCTCCTGTCTCGCGGACATGGAGGGCTGTCAGAAAGGCACTGCACCAAGTATTGCGGGTGCCACTGTAATTCAGTGTGAAGTGTCTCTTTTTAACTGGCACGAGCTGGTGCCCTAACATCTTAGACTACACAGCAAGCCGCACCGTCAGCAAGGCCTGTGCCAGCAGAGGAAAGGGGGCAGATCTTACGAAGCATTGGCCAGGCCCATCTGTTCTTATCTCTGCTGCTTTCTAGGAAGAGATTCCTCTAAGCGGAGCCAAGCTCAGTAGCTCGTTTTAACCTAGGGCAACTATCTGCTGCTCTTGGGAGTTTTTAGCCATTAACTGGATTCTCATAATCCAGCTCTAATACCAGCAGTGCTCTGAGCCTCTACTTAGGACTTGGAAGGTCCTAGGGAATCAGATGAAACTAATTAGGACACAGCTCATCAAAGGAAACACAAGTATTTTACCAGCTGTGTACAGGACCTCCCCACAGTGCAGCAAAGGCCATGGAAGAAATCTTTTTACCAGAGGGGTCCACAGTCATCGTCATCCTTGACTCTGTCCTCCCCTCTCTCGCTCTCTGCCCTGGCAAACTCAGCCTGTCTTCACCAGGCTTCTTCTCCCTGAGGCACAAGTCTTCCTTTTTAGCTTATTTTTGGGAAAAGTGAATTTTTGTGATCTACTCAACTAACCATGAAATCAGGCCTGTCAGGAGAGAGGACAAAACCAAGCAAACAACACTCTGAAGGTCTGGGAAATGGCCGCCACTCTGTGATGCCGGGCCGGCTCTACTCTTCTACTCTGGGTACTCTTCGTCCACTGCTGCATCGTTGGCACGTTTCTGCTGCTCCGTCTCTGGCTCGGCGGGCAGAATGCTGGTGACGGTGTGGAGGAGTGCCTCAATCTGCTCCTCTGTGAGCCGCTCCTCACTCTCCTCCACTATCTGCAAAAGAAAGGAAAACCCTCACAGCCGTGGTCCATCCCTGCCTGGGCTGTTCACACCGTGCCTCCCGCACACGGGGCCTGGGCCTGAGCCATGCGGGTTTCCAGGCCTCGCCATCTGGCCCCACACCGAGGGCAAGGCCAGCTCACATCCTAGAGGGAGCCCATGTGACTGCTTGTGATGGGTCGGGGACAAAAGCCAGTTACAGGACAGCATGTACAGCATAATCCCATTTCTATGGAAAGAAAAAGAAGCTGTAACAGGTCTCTGCCCATCCACAGCCACAGGTGAATATGTTACACAGGTAAAGAAAAGCTGCCTGGGGAGTGAAACAGCCCTTTATATACCTTGGAATCTCACAATAAGCACATCTGTAAGCTCATAAACTGTATCAACAATTCACGTGATGAGTGCCCATGATGTGCCAAATGGTGCACATTATTTTTTCTAATCCTTGCTACCCCACCACTAATAACAGCCCCCCAGGACAGCCCTCTCACGTGCCCAGCGCTGGACCTGCACTTCACATCCATTATTTCTTTTAACTCTCCTAACAACCCCAGCAAGAGGTGGAGCCGGAATCCAAAACCAGGTCTGCCCGACTCCAAAGCCCCTATCACATGACCTTGCTCATCTCCTGGGAATGCAGAACAGGAGCCTAGTGGGTGAGGGCTCAGAAACAAACCCCGCTGTTCCATAAGAGGTCCACTCAAAGCCTGGTTCCTGCCACGGGCCCTTCAGCTGACAACATGGATGCCTGTGATCAGGGCACAGTGTTCTCAGCCTCGCCACTCGTTCTCAATATAGTCATGAACTCAAACACAATGTAGTCAACTGCCTTTTTTTTTGGTGGTAAATACCCAGTAACACCTGCAAAAGCCAGAACCTGTGTAAGGCATAAACCTGTCAGGGAAGGAAAACTCAATACAGATCTTCTCCACTAAACAGAGTGAAAGAAAAGTGGTGACTGCACCCTGCTGCCAAAGGTGGAAAACCTGCGAGACCCCTAAAAACAGGGCAGTCCCATCGAGTTCCAGCTCTCAAAGGTTTCGCTGTATATCAGCCACCTTTTAAAAGCAATCTGCAGGCAGTCAAATTACTTAACCATTCTCCCTTGGTGGCTTAACCACAAATTACAAACACCTTTCTCAGCCAAAGGTGTCTGGGGTCCAATCCTATGGCATTTCCTACATCAATCTGCCAGGTGAGACCAAAAGGAGTTCCAGAAAGAAATCTTGATGGATTTAAATAAAGCGAGGGAAACACAACAGGCTAGATTTAGTGTTGGCAAGGACCTCAGTCTGACCTTGCCATGTACAGACAATGGTACAGAGGTCAGAGAAGTCAGGCAACATGCCCTGGCAAAACTCTGGTCCCCTCATTTACCTCACCAAATGTTTCCACAACCAGCAAATAATCCTGAGCATTTTAAGGTGGGGAAGACCTTCAGTGAATCAATGGAGGCTACTTCCCATCATGCTGTGAAATAATATGACCATTTTCTAAAGATTCAATGGCTTAGTAAAATGTGACTTCTTTACTGAACAAGAAACAATCCTCAAAAACCTGTATCTTTAGTCAAACACGCAAAATTAGGGTCTGTAAAAGGCAGTAGTCTAACACAGACTGCCCCCACAGGAAGAAGGAGGGGAATATCAAATCTGGTTACTTAGTCCAGAGAAAAGATGATCTCCATTGGAGAAAACAATGTGTCTAAGCTTGTAAATCATCGGTATATGTAGCTGCTGCTGAACCACTTCCGGCCAGAGGGGAGAGGGTTAGGAGATCTAGGCCACGGTTAGAACGCGACAATCTCCACCCGAATTGGTGCTGTGCCCCAGAACCACTGCCACCAGAGCTTCTCAAGACCCCTGCACAGACAGATAGGACAATTTAAACGGAGGCTCAGCGCTACAAAGAAAACCTGAGCTGGGTCTCAGGGCAAGGAGGTGTGAGGGGTTTTGACTTTAAATTCCAAGCTCTTCAAAAAAAGTCCGCTGGAAAAGGACAAATACTGTATGATTTCACTTACATGAAATAAGTAACTATATAGAAACTAAAGATTATTAGTGGTTACCGGGGTGGGAGGGAGGGGAAGAGGGGAGTTTAGGCTTAGGAGGCATTAAGTGTACGTTAATGGTGGTGGAATGATTTGGAAAAGGATAGAGAGAATGGGTGTTCAACTTGAAGGATGTAATCAATGTCACTGAATTGTACATGTAGAAACTATTGAGATGATGTATGTTTTGTTAAGTATATTTTTACCACAATAATAAAAAATCTCAAGCTCTTTCTAGAACACCATGCCCCCCAGTAGGAGGCACCTATTGTTCCCTCTTTCAAAGATGCTGTGCAGCCGACTAGAGTCCGCTGGTGTGACACACTGGTTCTCTGCCTCCTGAGGAGCCCTCCTTTTTAGGAACCCTAACAGAGAGGGCTGAGGACTGTAACAGGCTGCCTTTCTGCCTCCCAAGCTCCGCTCGGCAGATGCAACACTGATGAGGTGTCGGCCAGGTGTGTTCCTGGCAACAGAGCTGATGAGCCTTCTAGTTTTGCCAAATTCATTCACAGGAGAAGTTTTATCAGCACTCAACCCTCACGGCTAATTATAGCCAGAAACTTCTTTCTTCAACCTAAGATTTCCATTTACAGGAAGAAAAATCTAAGCTTCATTAAGGTAAATGAAATACACACAATAAACAAATTTTCAGAAACCAAACACTAACCCCTCTTGGATCGCTGGAGTGATAATAACTACACTGCTCCTCACACTGTCGTACCCAGCAAGGATAAACAGGCCAAATAAAGGACAGTCCAGTCCACCATCCCGACTCTCCCAGCTACTAAAGGTTTCCAGTTGTTCAGAATACAAGCATAAATGAAACAAGAAAAACATCTGACGTATTTGCAGATGGGTCAGCAAAGACGATAAAATTTTATCATATACAAAGATCAGACCAGGTCCCCAGGGGCTGTCAGACCGGGATGCTGGGCTCCAGACATGGTTGTTCTCATTCTCAGCTGCAAGCCTAACATCCTCCTTCTGCCCAAACAACATGTAACAAACAGCAACACCATAGACTTCTAGCTGTCTGCTACAGAACAATTCACTTACCCTCTCTAAATTCAATCTTCTCACGTGTAAAACAAAGTCAAGCCTGTAATGAGGACCAGATGAGAAGACATGTGATGGTGTTCTGTAAGCCAGAAGGCTCTGCAACTCAGGACAACTCACGAAGTAAGAGGCATAGACAGCAGCCTGCTGGGGACAGTGTGGCCTCTTCAGCAGTTCAGGTCAGAGGTTCGCTGTCCTATCTCCAGGCCAGGGGGCTCAGAAATCATCCAAATGTGTCCACCACAGGGCACATCAGAAGCCAAGAGGCCGGGCAACCATCCTCATTTCCTCACAGACCCTCACAGCCAGCAAGCAGTCACGAGAGGATCTGCGGATCACAACAAATCAGGGCTGGGGAGTAACTGAAAAAGAGCGCTTCAGCCGCCAAAAGGGACCTGTCTCCCAGCTGAATCCTAGCAAATGGTGGCTGTTGGGATCACTGGGCTTTTCAAGCCCTTTGCACTTCCCACTGTAAGGGAAAACCTCATATTCCATTTCTGGAGAGAAGAGACACTGCTACAAGCCTTGTTAAATACAGTCAAATCCCTGGGCGGGAAAAATATGGCTATAGAATGGCCGACTGCTGGGAAACAACATACCCAGAGCTTTTATCAAGGCCTGCATACCTTGTAAAGGAGATGAGAACAGCCTGAGAGGATGCCCCACACCTCTTTCTTCTCATCAGGCAGAAGAACATGGCTTGGAGAAACAAAGAAAGGCTTCTGAATCCCAGAGACCCCACGCAGCCCGGCATTAGCCCTCTGGGTCCCGAGAGGAAACACAGCTAATGCCCCAGCGCCATGGCCACATACAGCAGGCACTTTTCACAGCAGCTAATCTGACTGAGTAATAGCAGCTTTCCGCAGGCTCTGGGCTGAGGTCACTAACCCTCCGCGTCGCCTCCCTCCATCTGTCAGGAAGCCACCACCAACATATGCTGTTGATTAAAGTTAGGGAAGACATGACATGTGATCCTTAACCCAGAAGGACAGGGATTAGTTTCTGGCTGGTCTGTTTGCTTCTTCCCCTCCAAGATGAATCTCCAATGCAGTCTAAGTCATCGGAATAATGAGGGTACAATAAAATGGATCTCGTTAGCCTAAACCCAGTTTTTCCAGAAAGGCACTCTTTATGGAAGAAATTTTTCTGATTTAATTTTAGGTGCATTTTGAAGGGCAGGAACAACTCCGGGAAGACAACGAAAGTTTTCATCAAAATTTAAATACCCTATAACCCTTGAAATAAAACAAGTTCTTTGGTAAGCAACTCTAAAGATCATATAGGTATTTTTGACCATTTTCTTCCGTGTATTTTTAAAGGAAATCTGACAAAGAGCTGAATGTTTCTAAAGCTGACTCTGGAAACGTTTTTATTCTCATTTTATTAATTCTCCAAGCCAAAGATTTTTATTGGCGGTTGAATGGCCCACTTAGCGTTTGTAGATTAACGATGCTCTCTGCCCTGTCCAACAGAAGGGAAGTGCTACAGGAGCTGCCGGGGCAGCTACTGCTCCATCTGCATCCCTGGACGGCGTTTTCACACTCTCCCTGCACCACCTCAAGCCTCGCCCTGCCACTGCCTTCCACAGCTCGGAAACTGCACACAGCCATTGCAAACGGGACTCTACCGTGATGAGGCCTCACTGAACGATCAAATCTGCGGTTTTAGAAAGTGAGCTATGAGCACGGGTGTAGATGACAGACTGGAGGGGGTGGGCGGGTGGCAGGGAGAATGGGGAGAGACTTCTGCAAGAGCCGACCTGAGAACCCGTGACAGAAATGAACACAGCACTGGAGGAGAGAAGAACGAACAGAAAAAAGAAAGCCACCACTGGACCTGAGGACTGCCCGATACTACAGGAAAGGGAGAACGCGTTCCAGGTTTC